CAAGGTTCTGTTTTCCCTACCAAGCAATCTTAGTGTTGTATCAAGTGGAACGGTACATAGCAAAATATTCTGTAAATGATAAAGCACACATTCTCCATCAGATGCAATCTTTTTTCCCCCTCCACCAAACTCTATTCTTTTTGAAGTCTGATGAACATTTTTTTTTTTTCATTTTGCCCAAATAAATTTCTTATCGTACATTTGACACTGTCTCTCTACAGGTGTTAAGAGGGGCTAAAGTCACTGTTCATTTCTTTCTAAATCACACAGTAGTTATATTATCCAACAACTCACAGAGAAGAAATTTTGCTAAGTGTTTCTATATTCACTTTCTCAGTTAATCCTTACAACAACACTAAAAGTTATGGCATCTTACTCCTGTCAATTCCATTTTGCGGAAGACGTAACAGAGTCTTCAGTGGCCTAGGTGGCTGAACCAAATCATACAGTAAGTGGCAGAGCCAAAATTTGAATCAAATCGGCCTGATATCAAATCCCAGGCTCTCACTCACTCTTCTTGGCCATTATTTAATAATTCTTCAAAAATATATTCTCTAACAGTCAAACCAACACCACTAAATTTCATTGACATTTTAAAGGTGATTCATCTCTTACTACATCACTTACCATGAGCACCTGTCCAATGGAATATTCTCTTGAGAGGACCAAGGAGGTCCCGTACCAGAATGCCAGGGCATAGGATGCATAGATCAACAGAAAAGCAGCACCCATAGAGATGTTGGCTGTGATAGCTTTCTTTATACCAATTCTCTTGGCTTCTTCCAAATTTTTGTTGTACCTTGGAGAAGTAACAAATTATCACACATGCTTGTAAAATCTTACAAAATGGGTCAATACAGCATGATGGTTGTTGAGTACTCAAGACGCACCAAGGCCTCTGATGGGTGCTTCGCATGTATTTTCTCCCTTTGTCCACAGGTTGACCCTATGATATTAGTACTATTTTAATGTCTTCTTGTAGAAAAGGAAACTGAGGCCTTATGGAAATTAAGTAATTTGTGGAGGCATGTTCTAAAAGCACCTTCTCTGGCCTTAGCAATAGTGAAATAAAAGAAGTAATACTTAGCACACTTACAGCACTTGCACTGTTTCACATATAAGACAAAACACAAGCTATGAAAACACTTGTGTTTTCCCTTTAAAATCTGCATGCATTTGAAATGTATTAATAAAATGAAGATATAATGCTAGAAAGTCCTCAATACAGACGTTTGTGGAGATGTGGACCTAGAGACTTTCATACAAAGAAAAATAAGTCAGAAGAAAACAAATATATATTAACACAAATATGGAATCTAGAAAAACAGTACAGACGATCTTATTTGCAAAACAGAAATAAAGACACAGATGTAGAGAACATATAGACACCAAGTGGGGGAAGAGATGGGGTGGGATGAATTCGGAGGTTTGGACGGACACATATACAACTGCTGATACGATGCATAGGGCAGACAACTAATGAGGACAGGCAACTCTGCTCACTGCTCTGTGGTGACCTAAAGGGGAAAGAAATTCAAAAAAGAGAGGAGATGGGGGGTGGGGGTGTCTGTGTGTGTCTATGTCTGATTCTCTTTGCTGTATGACAGAAACTAGCACAACATTATAAAGCAACTATACTCCAATAAAAATTGATTTAAAACAAAGTACTCAATACAAGTAAGTCCTTGAAACCTCTGCACATCAAGGATGAAGGCAGTTTGCCCTTGCCCTTCCTCCCTCTGGGCCTGCTGAAAGGACCAAATGAGAAAAACACATGCGTAGGAGCAATCTGAGCGCTCTGAATTGCCATCTAAGACTTTTTACATGTAAATAAACTCTGTCCTTTGCTAAGTCCTGTCCGACTCTTTGCAACCCTAAGGACTGTAGCCCGCCAAGCTCCTCTGTCCATGGGGTTTCCCAGGCAAGAATACTGGGGTGGGTTGCCATGCCCTCCTCCAGGGGATCTTCCTGACCCAGGGATCGACCTCAGGTCCCCTGTATTGAAGGCAGATTCTTTACTATATGAGCCACCAGAGAAACACCGATGAATAATTCTTACAGCAAATACAGGGGATTACACAAAAGAGGGCAAACCCAAGGAAGCAAACAAAAACCAAAGCAATGTTGGAGATCATTGATAGACATTTCCCTCTCATTCTAATCACTTAACATAATTTGAGCACTTTTTAAACCCTGGGGAAGTGGTTAATTTCTGATATTCAAGTTAAAGGAGATAGATACATAGACTGTTCCACTTAAGAAGAGCAATATGGAGGTAAGTGAATGGGGATCAGACTTAAAGAAAAAGAAGGATCTTGGCAGATACAGAACCATGGTAAAACTATTAGAGAGAGAACAGATTGTAACTGAGCCTTAAATCTGTCCTTATTCTCTTAATACAACTCCCTACAGGACGTCAGAACACTGCCTTACTGAAAGAGGAGCTCATAATTGCTGAAATGAAAGAATTTATTTCTAATAGGATGTATTTTGAGTTCTTTGATCCATAAACACATGATGGTATAAACATTATACAGTTTTATATTAATTTTTTTGGAGTATTTGTTCCATTTGTTAGAATGTACAAGCAGAGGTCAAGCCCTGCTCAGGTATGAGCGCATATTCTTTCATGCCCTCATGACATTTAAAACTACTTCAACAATAACCAGTTACCAAACCATGGCATGGCCCAATGAAATTTACATGATTACTTCCTAAAGAGTAAATTTAAACAGAACTTTATAGTGATAAAATGGTAAAACATTATTAAAGTTTCTCCCTCCAAAAAATGTAAATCAACTAGCCAGTTATAACCCTTGACCAGAAAATTATTTTTGAGAAATGTGCTTCAATGGTTGAATATACATGTCTCCCACTTTATGAGCTGATGTGATATGAAAGTACCACTGGGCATAAATTGTACATGATTACATTTAAGGAACTTTAATGCTTATGACTCACACTTTGTTTTGCCTTTATGTCAGTTCTTGCTTACCGAGACTAACGTAGAAATCACTGTGATATGCTGTGTCCCAAGCAGCCAGAGGAAACTTTTGCACAGGAAGAAGCAACAAGGAAGAAAATCACTTAGATGCCAGAAAAGATAAATGAAAAAAAGAAGGGGGTAAGGAAGGAGGAGAAGCAAACACTACTCCTTTTGCATAGGCTTTTTGATTAGCTTGTCAACAAAAATGTCACATGTACAAAATCAGATATTAAAACCATCAATTCATTAAAAACTCTAGTATCAAAATGGTAAAGTAGGATTTCCTAAAAGGGGTCAAAGTTACGTAACAAAACACTGACAATTAGAAAAAACTATTCTTCTTAAGTAATATGAACACACTTATCAATGATGCAAATAGCCACCTATGAGAGCAAGGAAAAATTTCTGCTGTGTGTGTGTGTGTGTTAGTCACTCAGTTGTGTCCGACTCTTTGCAACCCCATAGACTGTAGCCCGCCAGGGCTGTCCTCTGTCCATGGGATTCTCCAGGAAAGAATACTGCTGTGGATAGCTACTCCCTTCTCCAGGGGATCTTCCTGACCGAGGGATCAAACCCAGGTCCCCTGCATTCCAAGCAAATTCTTTACTGTCTGGTCCACCAGGGAAGCCCCACTGTATACTATTGAATTAAATTCACTTTAAATTCTGAGAGAATTTGAGAGATCCTACTATACCTAGATAGCATATTAAAAAGCAGAGACATTACTTTGACAACAAAGGTCCATCTAGTCAAGGCTATGGTTTTTCCAGTGGTCATGTATGGATGTGAGAGCTGGACTGTGAAGAAAGCTGAGCACCGAAAAATTGATGCTTTTGAACTGTGGTGTTGGAGAAGACTGTTGAGAGTCCCTTGGACTGCAAGGAGATCCAACCAGTCCATCGTAAAGGAGATCAGTCCTGGGTATTCATTGGAAGGACTGATGCTGAAGCTGAAACTCCAATACTTTGGCCACCTCATGCCAAGAGTTGACTCACTGGAAAAGACCCTGATGCTGGGAGGGATTGAGGGCAGGAGGAGAAGGGGACGACAGAGGATGAGATGGCTGGATGGCATCACCAACTCGATGGGCATGAGTTTGAGTAAACTCCGGGAGTTTGTGATGGACAGGGAGGCCCGGCGTGCTGTGATTCATGGGGTCGCAAAGAGTCGGACATGACTGAGCGACTGAACTGACTGACTGACTATACTGGCTAATTTGAAGAGAAAATCAAAGTAAGACCTTAATTACCTGTCTATGTGAAAGCCGCAAATGGAAGGGTAAGAACTAGAAGGAAAACTGAAGAATTATATTTGGTCTAAGAATAGCTTTAATAATTCTATTAATGCTATTGTTTTGTCACTAAATCGTATCTGACTCTTCTGCCATCCCATGGACTATAGGCCACCAGGCTCCTCTGTCCATTGGATTCTCCAGGCAAGAATACTGGAATGGGCTGCCATCTCCTTCTCCAGGTGATCTTGCTGACCCATGGATCAAACCTGTGTCTATCACATTTTCTGAATTGGCAGGCAGATTCTTTACCACTGAGTCACCTGGGAAGCCCCTGAATAATTCTACTTCCAAATTAAATCCCAAATCCAGGGACTTATCATCCTTCTCCTGGACCACTCCAACAGTTTTCTAATTTTTGATGGCTCTCATCGATTCACCGGACCAATTACAGAGAAATGATTTTAAAACATCAAGTAGACAGTCATTCCCTTGTTAAATCCCTCAACTGCTGCCCTGTGCCCTTGGAGTTAAATCCTGACTCCTTACCAGGACATGCAAGTCCCCATGTTCTGGCCCCCACCCACCCTCAACAGCCCCTCTTCACCTCAATCTCCTCTCACTCAACTGAGCTCCAGTCACACAAGCCTTAGGATATTTTCTAGAATATACCAAAGCCTCTGCCATCTCGGTAAACCTGGAAGACTCTTGTGTCCCTACCCTACTACAGCAGACTTTTTCTCTTCCCTCAAGTACCAGCCTCCAGGACGCCTCAAATATCCAACACGCATGCCTTCCTTGACCACCATGGTTAAAGTAAACTTGTCCTGCTCACCCTCATCAGCACATTCTTTGATTCCTTCAAAACACGTTTAAACAATTCATGATTAACTCATGCCTCTGATGATTTTTTTCTCCCTTCCTGCTCTCCTCCCTCCCTTCCTTCTCTTTTTTTCCACCTCATTATTTTGACCAGGGATCATATGAGGGCAAAAAAGGCAAAGATAAAGTAGCATATCAAGCTGTTTAAAGACATATAGACTTCCTATAACTCATAGACTGAGGAAATGTGCCAATTCTTTTACAAGGTTCGCATCAACAGGAAAGGTAAGTGTAGTGTTCTAAATACAAACTGATGAAGCATTAGGATTTATCTGAAAACTTAAGCAGAGGAATATGATTATGACCTGAAACTTCCTTTTCTTAGGTTTTTAACTGTTTAAAAACTTTTACATTTACTTTTTGAATACTCATTATAAGAAATAGTTAATAGAAACAGCTTTTCAAGGAAATTCTGATATGAATACCAAACAACATCACCTAATGCATAAGTAAAATTAAAATTGAATAAAATTCAGAAAAGTATTTCTGTCATATTCTGGAGGGTTTAACATAATTATATCCACATTTTGAGAAAACATTTCTAAATTTTCATTTTGTTTAACAATTGATTTTTAAGCTTCTTGATGTTAAAAAAAAAATATCCAGTGAGGTCTACTTTGGTTTTGAAAGTTTATTATAATTTTTAAAGACCTGGTTACTTATTTGTATCAACTTAAAAAAAAATACTGCTTAATTGAATCAGCTTAATACCAGAATTAAAACTCAGTAAGAATGCCAGCATTTAATATGTGAATAATGCTAGAATGTATAAAAAAGATCAGCCTGAGCACTGATTTAAAAAGATATTTTTCTTTCTATTTTTTATTCAAAGATTGGAGAAGGAAATAGCAACCCACTCCAGTATTCTTGCCTGGAAAATTCCATGGACAGAGGAGTCTGGCAGGCTATAGTCCATCGGGTTGCAAAGAGTCGGACACAACTGGGCGACTTTCACTCACTGCCAATACACAAGTGAAAACCCAGAGCCTAGCACAGTGCTTGGCATGCTGGATAAATTTACCAAAAGAACTGAACATTCAAGAAATAGCCAAGCTGGAGAGAACCTTAGGTCATCAGGTTGTAGTCTTGAGTCTACTCCTGATATTCACGAAAAACTAATTTCCAATAATTCCCAATTTTCCAGGGGACCTTGCAAAGACAGAGTCCAATAAACAACATCTTCTGAATAAATAATTCTACACATAAAATGAATCTTTGAATATAACTGTGTAAGCCCATTTGCTTGTTAAAAAGTTGATCACTATCTTCTCTAAAAAACAAAACAAAAAAATCCATATCTAATTTCTTCAGTTCACTCAGTTGTGTCCGACTCTTTGTGACCCCATGAACCGCAGCATGCCAGGCCTCCTTGTCCATCACCAACTCCCGGAGTCCACCCAAACCCATGTCCATTGAGTCGGTGATGCCATCTAACCATCTCATCCACTGTCATCCCCTTCTCCTCCTGCCCTCAATCTTTCCCAGCATCAGGGTCTAATGAGTCAGCTCTCCGAATCAGGTGGCCAAAGTACTGGAGTCTCAGCTTCAACATCAGTCCCTCCAATGAACACCCAGGACTGATCTCCTTTGGGATGGACTGGCTGGATCTCCTTGCAGTCCAAGGGACTCTCAAGAGTCTTCTCCAACACCACAGTTCAAAAGCATCAATTCTTCGGTGCTCAGCTTTCTTTATAGTCCAACTATCACATCCATACATGACTACTGGAAGAACCATAGCCTAGACTACACGGACCTTTGTGGACAAAGTACTGTCTCTGTTTTTGAATATGCTGTCTAGGTTGGTCATAACTTTCTTTTCAAGGAGTAAGCGTCTTTTAATTTCATGGCTGCAATCACCATCTAATTACTTAAATCTAATTACTTAGATCACTCCATTAAAAAATACTTTCAATTCCTTTAAACTTTCAGTGAACCAAAATAAGATTTATCTAAGTTTTGAATATTGGACTTGACACCTTTCCCTCCTTACACCCAGGTTATACATCATTACAGTTTTTCATTGCTAATAATATCTTCTAAAATTATCATGTTCTTCAAATTTTGGATGCCATTAATCTAAGAGGTATTATAATCGTGTTATTCTATGCAACATTAACAAAGGAGTTTGACAGAACACTCTGCATACAGCAGGGACCCAAAAGGCTCCAGCCTCAATGGAATGAGCATGTGCGCCATGGAGAGCGCCAGCAGCAGAACCTGCTTGTCTCAGCCCTGACAACAGATGAAGGGTGGGGGAACATGTCCCCTGGGAACTGGAACCGTAAAAGGCGATGCTTATACCGATCTGAAAATATGAATTCACCAGTGTGGTTCAAAAACTCCTAGACCAAGAATATAATGTACATGGGCTCAGGTTAATAGTGCCCCCAGTGAGTGGCAGAAGCAATCACAAATCCTTCCTGCAAGAACTCAGCTTCTCAATCCAGACCCACAGCAATTGTAAGATGGCTCTGATTGTAGGATTTGTCTCAATTTCAGAGATGATGAATTGCAAGAGAAAAATGTGCATCTGAGAATTGACGGAATGCTACACGTTCTCTAACTGCTCACTGCTGTCCACAGGGATGCCATTTTTACCCCTGGACTGTCATCAGGTACTCAGAGGCCTTCCCGTACACGGTTGTCTGCAGATCGTATTACACTGTTACTGGCACTGCTGTGTAGACAGTCATATACTCTATACAGAATGACAGTTTTGCTTTTTGTTTGCCAACCTAATAACTTTTTTTATTTTTATGATTCTTACTCTTATTTTTTCCTTAATTTTATTATCTTGTACCAATACCACCCTAAATAGAAATGATACCAGCAGACATATTTGTTATTTTAAAGGAATGCTATTAACATTTTACCATTTAATAAAATTTCCTGTGGGTATCTGGTACATACTCTTTATTAAATTAAGAAAGTTTTTGTCATGAATCATCTGTAATTAACACTTTTACCTCATTCATCAAAACGTCTTTCTTCCAATCTACTAGTGTGGTTTATTATATTCATGGATTTCCTAAGTTAAATCATCTTTGCACTTATGGGATCAAGCCATCAGGTTCAGAAATTTTTTTAATCTGATGATAGTTTTCACACTGATTCATTTAGCAAATAATTTATCTAGGCTTTCTGCATCTATGTTTTAGATGAAACTGTTCTATAATTTTCCTTTCTCATATACCTGCTATCTTGTTGTGATATCAAGGTTATACTAGGCTCATAAAATGAACTCACAACTTTATATATATATATGTTTTTTTCATTCTCTCAAACAATCTCTGTAAGATGGGGTCATCTCTTTCTGGAAGTTTTGGTAAAATCTGTCTGGAAAATTATCTGGACCTGGTGGTTTTTGCATGTTTATGCATGTATGTATATGAAAGGCAAAAGACAAGAGATTTTAAACTGGATTCAATTCCTTTAATGATTATGATTCTATTCAAATTTCATCTTAAGTGAGAATTTTAACATATATTTTTCTGGGACATCATCTATCTCATCAGGGATTTTTAATTACTGGTATAAAACTGTAAGTCTTAAATTTTTAAAAATCTGTAGCAACATTTTTCCTTGTACACTTTCATTTTGTTCCTGATTAAACCTGTAAAATACTACTTCATTATTTATCCATATTTTCATAAAAATAAGTTTATGGTATTTTGTCAAACCTTTGCTTCTTTATCTTTATTTTCTATTAAAATGTTTTGCCCTTAATCCAGTTATTCTTTTTCGAACTTCTTAATGTAGCTGCTTAGTTCGTGAATTTTCAGAAATTTTTAAATTTCTTCTACCAAACACCCTAGTGATACCACTGGACTTGGATTCATTTTGAATGTGAAACCCTCAGCTTTAGGAAGAGAGAGCTCCCTGGTCCTCAGAGTATTATAAATTCAGACTCTAACAGCACCTGAGGGTGAGGCTTGCAATTCTGATTTCTACGGAGAGATGCTTTCCCTTGGTGCAATAACTAGGCAGAATCAGATAAGATTTGTCACACCATGTTGGTAAACAGATTCTTTTTCTGGTACACCTCTCCATTGAGAAAAACTGGAAACGAAAGCCAAGTTCAAAATTTCATTCTGTGTCTACTCAGACATTTATTCAGAAAGTACTTTGCTGAATAAACTCTTGAAACAGTACCCTCCATGACTCTAACGGAGTATTTAACTTCCCTAAACAATATTTACCCCAACTGGTACATCAGATATGTTATTGACCTGTGGTTGTTTGTATCTGTCCGCCCCCCCTCCGCCAGAATTAAAGCTCCAAGAGAAGAGGTGCTTCATTTGACTGGTTATTTGCAAGGCAATGAAGCAAGACATCCCATTTTTTAGTCAGACTCATGTTAAGGCAAAAGTAAAAACCTTAGCAAAAACTGAGATAAAACACAGATATTGCTTTCCTCTGAACTATGATAGGTACAGAGCCATCACAAATTCTCTCAGAGGATATCTTTATGGGTATGAAATATATCATATGAGAAAAGTATACTCCAAACACAGTATGTACAGTTTAAAGAATATACAGTGAGCACTCCTGTAAGCACAGCTGAGGTCACGAAATGAAACAAGGTCAGAATCAAGATGCCCCCACCATGTGCCCCGCTTTTCTCACCAACCCCTCACCTCCCCCAGAAGTGACCATTATTTTCACTTATGACCCCATCTATCTACCACAAAATACTCATTCTTAGAGAATCAAGAATTAACTTGATGGAGAAAAATTATCATCAGAGATATTATGTTTCAGCCTTAAGAAACTAGTTATCTCACTACCCAACCTAGGAGATTCTAGAAAACACTTTGCATTAGCAGATATAAGAAGAATTACAACAATTAGAATCACAACTTTTCCAGAATATTAACTATGCTGTAATATACCCAAGAAGCTATTTAAGGAAACATATACATCAGAGAACACCCTTACAATCATCACCATCAACCTGAAGGGCATTTAAGATGACAGAATTTAACATCTCTACCAACTTAAAAAAGGAGACTCAAACCTTTCAAGTTCTTTATTTTGTCCTCCAAATGCAATCACAGTTCTAACAGCTGCTAAGACCTCTTCAGCTACTGCTCCAGCATTTGCATATGCCAAAAGTTCTTTATCAGTAAATGAAGACAGTATCTGTTTAAAAATGCAATTGCAGATAATTTAAATTTTTTAACAAGTTAATTTTACCTTTTGTACACAAATGCCACTGTACAAAGAATACTGTACTGTATATAAATCTTTTACTTATCTTTGGTTATGAAGTCCTCTTTTTTAGTATACATATTGTAGCCATTTCTTTTTCGACTGAGATGGTATATAATAAAGCAAAATTTCAACTTTCTCACTATACCCCATGGGTTCTCATACAAATAAATAAATCTGGGACTTTGGGGGAGATTTTAAATCTTAAAAACAAGTGTATACTCTAAACATCAATAAATACATCAAAAAATGGGGCAGTATATAAAAAAAATAGGTGCATTCAACATAGCAATTGCTTATTATACTCTGGTTCTGAAATACCAAGGTAGGAGGCCAGGAGAACACAGGGGACCAAGCACTGTGTAGTGACAGGACCTCAAGAAGGTTTCAAACGGCAGGGAGGCAGAGTTCCTTTTACTAGGGTTTCTGAGCATGACATTAGGCCACCATGGAGGTCTCTTTTACGGATGCTGATTTTTGTTTGGTCCCTGAACATCTGTTCTGTGGAAGGAACAGTACCGGGTCCTTTATATACACAGGATCTCCTTCACCGATTCTTCTCAATTGTACCAAGAAGTAGGCATTATTTTCCCCGCTCAATACATGAGGAAATGGAACGAGAAAGAGGTCAAGTCAATTGCTAATAAGTGAAATATCCAGGATTTAAGGCTTCACAGCATGAATCAATGGCCACTAGGGTGAATCTCTCTCTAAAACCAGCCACTGACATGTGTGGAATCCCAGAGGGCCCTGTGATTAAAATTGAGTCAACTAGCAAGTGCAAAGGACTACTATTTTTACTTGAAATGCTTGACTAGTCAACCATCTAAATACTGCACAACAAAGAATTCAAATAAAATTCTGAGTAAATATATTATACTCTTTCAATAAATAATTTATAGCATCTGTGGACTCATTTGTATAAGTAACAACAGTCTATTCCTGCTTGTCATAAAAAGTTCAAAGTTGTTTTGATTTTAAGAGTGCATTTCTTCCTCTGCTGCGTGTGAAAGTAAAAGGAGCTACGACAGATGTAGGAATGGGTGGGTGAAGGCAAACAAACCTTTATTAAACAGGTTCTCTGTGCAGATGTTGTACTGTATACACCTTCTTTGGTATCCCAAACAACCACCCACTGATGCTCTAGACCTTCCTGACCTCTCCAAATGACCTGCCTAGGGCTGCCCTATTCCATTTGCCACAGCTGCTCACAGCACTGGGCCTGAACCAGGGAGATCACTGTCATCCCTGAACAAAGAGGTCTGCATCAGGCAAGAGGTGCATACAATACAGTTTAGCTGTTTCTCTGCTCTTGTTGAAAACCTCAACCATCAACCACACCAGAAGCAGCTGACAACAGGAAGATCAGCAGAACTATTTTTGAACGAAGAGTTTCAAAACATGTTATTCTAATTTATTGTTGAAATATCAAGTACCATTCCAACTGATTCAATAAACCTGGCTTCTCTATGACCTTCCAGAATGATAAGCATATCCTTAGGCAAGACTACAGTAGAATGTTCATGAAATGTTTTGTTTTTTAACAGATCGTGTCTGTTGAAAGAAAAAAAAACCACTTTCAAATACTATCAGGGATGTGAAAAGTCAACTTTACTGCTCCTCTAATATAATATAACAGAATGGTGATACTTCCATTATTTCAATCACCCACCTAAACGATATCAAATTTCAATTAACTCATCCCTTCTTCCAAAGACTGCTAATTTTTTTTAAACAAAGCCTAATTGTACTAGTGCCAGACACATGAAATTGTTATTCCTCTAAGTTAAAAGCTAATACAGGCAACTTTATATTGTTCAAACTAATACATTCAGAAGGAATAGTTTTGACCACGACAGATGTTCTGGCCTTCTTCTTTGTCCCTTTTTTCCAGTTCTCAGTGTAGGTTTTTATTTCATTTTGTTTGGGATAATTTATACATGCTTTATTTTTTTAAACTTGTTATTCTGAGATAATTGTAGACACAAAGGCAGTTCTAAGGAAGACAGTCAGATCCCATAAACCCTTTATCTGGTCTTCCCCAAACAACATCATCTCCAACATCTCTTCAGAACAAGATCTCAGCCAAAAATTCAACACTTAACATTAATTCAATGTTATTCAGATTTACCAGTTTTACATGCACTCGTGTGTGTGTGTGTGTTCAGTTCCAAGCAATGTTATCACGTTAGATTCATGTGACGACAGTCACAATACAGAACAACTCCATCACCAGGACCCCTCAGTCCTACTCTTTGTAGCCACAGCCACCTCCTTTCCTACTCCTCATTTCTCCTCCCCTCCACACCATCCCTAACACCTGAAAACCACTAAACTGTTCTGCCTGTTATTTTGTCATTTCAAAAATATTATATAAATGGAGCATAAGGCATGTGACCTTTTGGGACTGGCCTTTTTCACCAAGTGCAAATCTCTAGAGACTCACCCCAGTTGTGTGTGTATCAGCACTACTTTCCTTTTTATCACTGGATGCACCACAGCTGCTTAACCAGTAACCCGTTCAAGAGCATCTGGGGTTGTTTCAGTTTGGGGCTATTACTGATACAGCTGCTATGAACACCTGAATACAGATTGAGTGAATACATGAACATAATTTCTCTTAGATAAATGTCCAATACAACTGCTGGATTGTATGCTAATTGCATGTTCAGTTTTATAAGACATCGCAAACTATTTTTTCAGGTTGAATACCATTTTACATTCCCACCAATAATACATGAGTGACCCGGTTTCTCTGCATCTCAGCAGCACTTGGGGTTTCACTTTTATTTTAGCCATGTTGGTAGAAGTATAATGGTATCTCGTTGCAGTTTAATTTGCTTTTCACTGACAACTAATGCTGTTAAACGACCTTTCATGTGCTGACCTACCACCTGTTTAACCTCTCTGATGATGTTTGTGTATCTCTTCTGCCCATTCTCTAACTGGTTCATTCGGGGTTTTTTTTCCTTAATATATATTTTTTATTGACATATAGTCAGTGTCTCAGGTGCACAGCAAGGTGATTCAGTTACACAAAAACACACATTATTCTTCAGATTATTTTCCATCACAGCTTATTACAAGATACTGACTATAGTTCCTTGTGCTATACAGTAAACCTCTGTTCCTTGTGGCATATCTATTTTTCAATTAGAAATCTAGCATTCTATTTATATGAAGTCAAACAAGTGGAGTCAAAATGTCACAAATTTTTTTCAGTTAGGCAAAATTTATAAGTTTTCTACAAAGTATATATTATACATACTATTTATATATATGTAGACAAAAGCTTTTCTACTATGCTCGATAAAGGCTTGAGAAAGAACATAAAAAAAGAGAGATGGAGAAACTCAAAACATAAATGAAATGCCAGCACTGAATAAGAAATAGAAAAGTAAAACAAACTAAGTAAAATTAAAGATCATTATACAGTCCAGTTGTTTTGAAACATGGTTGCTTATTAGGAACGTATCTGGAACTCTGGAGAAAAAAAGCAATACCTGGGCATTTGTATTTTTCAAAAAATTCCAAGATAATTCTAATATGTATCTGGATTTTAAAAAGCGATTACAGGTTTTTCTATTAAATAGTAGTTTTGGTGATTTTTTTTTAACCACCAAATTTTGAGAGTTCCTTATATATTTGATAAAGACTAACTCTTTGTCAGATATGTGACTTGCATGCTACTTTTTCCCAGCTTGTAGCTTGTGTTTTCATTTCCTTTACATGGTTTTCACAGAGCAAGAGTTCCCACTTTTGGGGGAAAGCAGATAAAGTCTTCCTTCTTTTAGGGGAGACTGTATAAAATTGGTGTCAATTCCTCTTTAAATGTCCGATAAATTTTTCCAGTAAATGTTGTCTGTGCCTGGAGAATTCTTTTTCAGGAGCTCAGAACTTACAAAATAGATTTCTTTAATCACTATTTCATCTTAGTTGTTCTGGATATCACAATATTCCCAGGCGACATAAAAATCTACTGGTATCAACATTTTACCACTTATAATTTTGGGTTCAATCACCAAATATGATTTCAAAATCTCCTGGGAAAAGAAAGGCCCAAATTCCTGCTCTTTCTGTTGTTCCTTTTCCCTTCCTGATGCTCCCTCCAATATGCCTTGTATCACTTTCCTTCTGTTTGAAGAACTTCATTTAGCCAGTCTTTAATAGGAGGTATGCTAATGGAAACTTCCTCTATAGTCTTCCATGATCTGGGAATGTTTTTATCTCCCCCATCATTCCTAAAAAATACTTTTAAACAAGTATCCACAGTTGACAGGTCTTTAAGCACTTGAAAAATAATTTGCCACTTCCGTCTGGTCTTTATGGTTTCAGATAAGAAATACATTGTCATTCAAATTGGTGTTCCCTATAGATAATGTGCTGTTCATCTTTAGCCAATTTCAACTTTTTCCTTTGTCTTTAGTTTTCAATGATTTAACTATGATGTGCTTTAGCACGGATTTCTTTGGGTTTATCTTGTTTGAGGTTAGCTTAGCTTCTCGGACCTGAAGGTTTGTCTTTCACAAAACTTGGACATTCTCAGCAATTATCTCTTCCAATATTCCTTCAGCCTTACTTCTCTCCTTTCTTTTGGGACTCTGATAGTCACTCATGTTCTATATCGTATTACTGTCCCACAGGTCCCTGAGGCACTTTTCATTTTCTGTTTCATGGTAGGTGACTTGCATTGTTCTATTTCCAGGTCCACTGACTCTATCCTGTCATCTCCACTCAACAAAATTAAGCCCCTCCATCATGACTTTTGTTCTACTGCTGCACCTTTCAGTTATCTAATTTTATTCTGTCCTTTTTTCTTAATTTCTGTTTCACTGCTGATATTTTCTATATCCTTTCATTTTAAGATAATTTGTAATTGATTAGTGAAGCATTTTTCTGATGACTCTTCCAAAATCCATGCCAAATAATACTGACATATGAATTATATCAGCACTTGTCAGTTAAGTGTTTTTTTCTCATTCAAGTTGTGATTTTCGTAGTTCTTGGTATGACAAGTGATCTTTTTTTAACTATATTCTGGGCTTGGTGTCTGTTATGTTAGGAGACTCTGGGTCCTATTTAAAGTCTTTTATTTTAGCAAGCAGTTACCCTTTTGGGATTTAGCATATAATTCTTAACCTAGTTCTGTGAATTGTGGGTTAAGCAGCAGTTTTACATTCAGAGTGTTTGTGGTATTATTTTCGTCAGCATGGTTTGTCTGCAGTTGCTGGGGCCCCTGCTTCTGCTACCTGAGGGAAGGAAAGTGGTTCTTAAGGTTGGACCACCACCTCCTGTAGGAGTAGGATATGGCAGTTTCCCCTCCCCTTGCCCCCTAGCTGACCCAGTGTCTCTGGGCGGGATTAGGGAATTGCCTGAAGAGATCAAAAGAGGCTTTCCGGAGTAGGAAACTTGCTGGGGCCAAGCCTCTTCCTGTTCTGCCTTCTTGCCCCGATGCCTCTGAGTTACATATGAGAGCCTCAGAATCACAGGGACAAAGCAGCTTCTTCCACCAGGCCTCATTTCTTTTTTAATAAGACTGACAACCAGACAATTAACCTAGATGTCCATCAGCAGACGAATGGACAAGAAAGCTGTGGTACATATACATGATGGAATATTACTCAGCCTTTAAAAAGAATACATGTGAATCAGTTCTAATGAGGTGGATGAAACTGGAGCCTATTATACACAGTGAAGTAAGCCAGAAAGAAAAACACCCATATACTATATTAATGCATATATATGTAATTAAGAAAGATGGTAACAATAATCCTGTATGTGAGATAGCAAAAGAGACATAGATGTACAGAACAGTCTTGTGGACTCTGTGGGAGAGGGCAAGGGTGGGATGATTTGGGAGAATGACATTGGAACATGTATATTATCATATGTGAAATGAATCGCCAGTCCAGGTTCAAAGTATGATACAGGGAGCTCGGGGCTGGTGAACTGGGATGACCCAGAGGGATCGGGTGGGGAGGGAGGTGGGAGGGGGGTTCAGGATGGGGAACACATGTACATGGCGGATTCATGTCAATGTGTGGCAAAACCACTACAATGTAACTAGCCTCCAATTAAAATAAACAAATTTATATTAAAAATATTAAATAGTATCTGAAGTAATGCACAATTAATTATTAAAAGATTAACTTACTGCTTTTCCCCCTAACTTAATTAGAATAAACATCAATACATTTTAGAACAGTTTTTCAGCAAATACTGATATGAAGAATCTGCCACCTAACTTGCCTAACGTGCCAGTAAACAGAAAAATCAATTAACACAAAGGCTTTTGCCAAATATTTCAACAGATGCCATTTAGCCACCAAGAACACCATTCAAACATTGTGTTAGTCTGAACAATAAATTAATAAGAGTTCTCAGAACTTCAATTTCTTCCTCTGTTAAATGAGATGATGTCTACACTTTACAAGAACATGTACTTCGTGCCTTTGAAGAAGATAATATGATGGAATGAGGGGGAAAATATTCTGTAACAGCCTACAAACTTCTACTTCATATGTAGAAAATATTATAACTAAATATTGCAAAAAGTGTAACTAACATTTACTAATTTGGGGGGAGATTAAGATATGTTGTTATTTTATACTCTAAAATTTCCTGGGATTTTTTTAACCTAAAAAAAGTTGAATCTGGGTAACAAGACTCTATTGTACAGCACAGGAAATGGTATTCAATAACCTGTAATAAACCATAATGGAAAAGAATATGAAAAATAATGTGTGTATATATATATATCTGAATTACTCTGCTGAGCAACAGAAATTAACACAACATTGTAAACTAACGGCATTTCAAGAAATTTTTTAAAAAAGAGAAAAAAATATGTATTTGCCTGACACAGTAGATACTTTAAAAAATGGCAGTTACCATTTATAATAGCAAAACAATATCCATCCTACAGGATTAAATTTTCTTAATTTCTTAATACAGTCTGATTTGTGTTAGGCTTGGGTTTGCTTGGCCCTCCGTTATTTTACATCCTTTTGCCATGTGAATGTGTAGTGCTGTCTCTAATTTTTCTTTTTCTCTAAAAACTATATACGAGGCCAATCTCTCCAAGGCCACCTACACTTACACGAAATCAATTTAGAAAGACCACCACACCCAGTCTCAAAAGAAAGGCCTCCGTGCAGTGATGGCCATTTGCATTGCTTTGCTTTCGTGACAGAGAGGGAACTGCAGACATCATATGTACACGCATAAGGGGCCCTAAAATACCTCTTTTTAAAAAACTGTCTTCACACCAATGGACTTAAGTATGTATAAACACAGAGCCATTTATAATGCTGACATAACTGTTCTGCCAACAAAATAAATAAAATCTACAAAAACACTGACATCAATAATGGTAACTGGATGGGACTTACGTGCTAGTCACTGAACGTGAAGCTCTCCTTGTGAACATGGAACTGTCTACCGGGGAACACAGCTCTCCGAGAGCCGAGCATTCCTTTGGCAAGAAGGCAGAGGAGATGGGAGAGCTCCATCGTTCCCTTCACCCATAACAGCACAGAGTCTGGGTGGGAACACCTCAGTGAGCTCACATCTGCCTATCCCCACTGATGTGAACAGAAGATTTAACACCAAGATTTATCAGAAGATTTAACATCAGTGTCAGGGTCATCATGTGACAAAAACAGCCTTCTACTGGAGGAGATGTGGAGGGTTTTTTGAGGGTGGAGACAGTTTAATAGCCTGGATTCACAGGCTTCACACCTACCTTTGCCCAGATAGCAGCTGACAGGCCAACAACAGGACTGATGGCCAGAATCACAAGGGTGAGCTTCCAACCTTCTGTAAATCCTACTATAAAACTGGTGAAGAATGTTGCTATTGCCTGAAAGAGCATTCCAATCTTGTCACCAATTCCTTCATTAATTTTGGAGACGTCACTGAAAGAAGAGTGTTAGAAATAAACATCAGGATTATGAACACCAGAACTTTCCTTCTGAATCTAGGTGAGTGTGTGTGTGTGTGTTTCAGTGCGGGGTAAGTCAGTTTACACCCAGGATTTTGCTCGGGAACATCCCAGGCAAGCACCATGTTGCCGCCCTAAGCTCACTCCCACAGGATGTCTCGGGTCTGGCACGTCCAGCCCCTCATTCACTGCCGGTCATGCGGGACCTCTTCGTGCCCTGCCAGGGTTCTGGGAACGAAAAGACACATGAGGCATGATCAAGACTCAGAAGGAATTTAGCTTCAGAATTACTTCTGAGGGATGGGCATTACCTCCAGGGATTACCTCCTGACAGATTTTATGACCTTATTCTCAAAGAATAAGAAGCACACGTCAGAGTTCAACACATACCCAGCTACATATTCTGTGAGCCGGGTGTTAAGCTCTCCAACATCATGCACGTCAAACCAGCCTATCTCCTGTCACATGATGGCATGAAAAAACTGTTTTCTGATTCTGTGTACTTGTCTTCCAGCGGCCAGACACCAGAACGAGACCTGGATGTAAGCAGCAATAAGCACGCCAGCACCAATTCCAGAGTAATAGTAGGCGTACCTGGAAAACGACGAGACAGCTGCACACGCGCCACTTTCCCATCAACGCACCTGTGCCCAGCAGACCACGCGCCCTGCCTTTTCAGTCATCTGGCAATCCTGCCCTCCTTCAAAGCAGAGCTGATGGAGAGCATCCAACCACGGCCACCCTGGTAGAATGTCATGGTGAAGACTGCTTTCTGTTTGGGCTCAAATCCCAGTTCTTAACTGCTAGACAGGCTGACTTCACCTTTTGAAGTCCCAGTTTTCTAACTGGCAAAATGGAGATAAGAACTGTAACACAGTGGGACTTCCCTGGTGGTCCAGCAGTTAAGACTCTGTGCTTCTATTGCCAAGGGCATGGGTTCAATCCCTGATTGGGGAACTAAGATCCCATATGCCTCATAACATGGCCAAGAAAAAGAACTATAACACAGTAATATATAAAAACACTTGCATCTGTGCCTGGCACACAATTAGCATGTAGAGAATGCCAGTTCTTGTGAAAGACGTGAGTGGTGCCTAAAAGCATCACAGCATTAGGTAAGGTCTACCAGTGTCATCCTGCATACCTGGATTACCCCTGTATCAGCTGATGAACACTTGGGATGGTTTCTGCACACTGGGGAATGGAAAGAAGTGACAGAACTTGCCAGAAAGTGAAACCAAGAGATGGAAATGGTCACCTGACCTTTTGGGTTATTAATCTGCCAAGAGACAACTGAGAATAAAAAATGTTTTTATACCGTCTGCCCAATTGGCCATCATGAGTTATCCTGAAATGCTTAATGAATCAAGTAGCAGACCCTCCAGTTTAAATTGTAACAATAAAAGAACATGTGCATCTTCTAAAACCAGACCCTTGATCAACTAGAAATACCAAATTTGTATTTCCTTATCTGAGTCTTCATACAGAAAAAAGCAAACAACTCACGTGCTTCACTAAGCAGTTACTTTTAAGGTAAAAACAAACATTCAAAAATGAAATACAGGATTCCAATATTCCCACTTTTCAAAGTTCACAGCTTGCCACCCTCAAAGAAAAAACTTGTATGAATCATACAGAAACTATAAAAATGGTGATGTAACAACCAGATAGTTGCTGATGTCAATGCTCACAGCCTGATGGAAACATATCTTCCCCAAGTTATACCTGGTAATGTACAATATATTTATCAGGGAAGACAGATTTAGAATACTAAATTTTAGTTAATAGATAACTCAATATTTATTATCCAAGTGTTAATGATACAGCAAGAGATAGCTAAAAACAAGTTAATCATTAACAAGTGGAACATGTGCTTTGAAAATGAGCTAATGTATTGTAAGCCACCAGTCTATGTTTACTCAGAAAAAAATAGCTGTATTTAAGCATTTATAAGATGATTACGGGCTTCCCAGGCGGTTCAAATGGTAAAGAATCCACCTGCTATGCAGGAAGCCTAGGTTCGATCCCTGGGTTGGGAAGATTCCCTGGAGAAGGTAACAACTACCCACTCCAGTGTTCTGGCCTGGAGAATTCCATGGACAGAGGAGCCTGGCAGGTTACAGTCCATGGGATCACAAAGAGTTGGACATGACTGAGAAACTTTCACTTTCAAGATGATTATAAGGCACTGTTTTTCATCAATATGAAAAAAGTGCCTCTCCATAAGAGTATCTGGAGGTGTTTGCTTCTCAACTTTCAAAATATGGTCAGATTTGTCCATTTTCGTCAAACCTACGAAAGTACTTACAGGATAATGTGAAATCATTTTCTTCTGAATCACCAACTCATGCCTTTAGACATGTTTTATAAGCTGTTCTGAGAGCAAACTTCAAGGTAAGTAAATCACTAATGAAAGCTTCCAAAGCAATTTAAGGTTAAAAGGACTATATTTATTCTGGAATGTCTTGTTTCATTGTTCAGAATAAGATGCTATATTTTAAAAAATCCTGTTAACTGATCTCATTATATCATAACTAAAGCTATCCAAGAAGCAAACTAATAATACAAAGCCAATGCAAATAATGTGATTCTTAACTGCATTTTAAATAAGCTCACTTTGAACCCTTCTAATTTCCCTGCAGATGATATTCTATATTTACCAATGCATACATCAATCTGATCCAGGCTTAACCTTCACTTTAGAGTGTCTTATGCAGCAAATTCTTTTCTGGAAGAAAAAAACCTATACTATATCCTCTTAAAAACTAACAATGATGGTGCTCCCCTCAAAACTTTGCATCTTTATCATAATAGTGCAAAATTTTAAACCGTATCACAATTGGATTAAGACAGAAAGGCTCAGCAATAGTAGAGAAATGTCTACTTACGTGGTCATTTCCTTCTCCAGCTTCTTGCCATAATCTGTTTTGTCTATAGTACCTAGTTCACCACAAAACAAACATACACTGTTATGTCTCTTTATTTTCCATTAAAAATATGCATGTAAATAGAACGTCCACCACAGTCAAGTATTAATAATCTGCTTTCCAATGCAGGGGACGTGGGTTCAATCCCTGGTCAAGGAACTAAGATCCCATGTGCTGTGCATGACAACTAAGCCCTCATGCTCTGGAGCATACATGCCACAACTGGAGAAGCCCATGCGCCCCAACAGGAAAAGCCCACGCACCCCCAAAAAAATCCCACATGCCGCAACTAAGACCCGACACAGACAAATGAGGAACTTTCAAAAAGATAAGCATGTAAAAATGAATCAAACTTGTGTCACTTAACAACTTACACAAAAATAGGTCGAACTAATTTAATCGCAATTATCTATAAGCATCAGGGCATCTGTGCAAATCCTTTACTACTGGCTGTGTGCAACCACACACACACTAAATTCAGTGAAGCTTATTTGCAATAAGAAAGCTGCATTGATTAAGGAGGAGTCTGTCAGCAGAGATACTAGTGTCCCTGGATTAAAACGTTTTATGAAATACCACTCCAAGATGACAGGGAGAAAAATCTTTTCTGTGGGCTTTGTCCTGATAAATATCAGTGCAGACTTGACCCTAAACCATTCAGTATTTCAAACTGAACACCACATTTCTTCAGTTTTTATTTTAAAAATGTAAGATACAAAGAAGAATGTAAAAAACACCAGTGAGCTCATTATGCAGTATTAGCAAATGTTAACATTTTAGGACAAGGTACATTAAAACTCTAACACCTCGCTCCAAACACACATACACACACACGTGCGTGCATGCACTAGCCACTGTTCATATTCTGGTGTGAATTTTTCTTCAGATTTTATTTTCTATATGCAAGTATACACATACATCAATACACACACATGCTTATTTTAAAGGACAGAATCACAGTTCACATTCAGTGGCCAACTTTCCATGTCCGTGTGTGGGTATATGGGGCCTCCCCGGTGGCTTAGTTAGTAACGAATATGTCTGCAATGTGGGAGACATGGGTTTGATCCCTGGGTTGGGAAGAGCCCCTGGAGAAGGGAACGGCTACCCACTCCAGTATTCTGGTCTGGAGAATTCCATGGAAAGAGGAGACGGGCAGGCTATATCCCGTGGGGCTGCAAAGAGTCAGATAGGACTGAGTGACTTTCACATGTGTGCATATATGTGTATCTTTGTTTTTTCAAAGTTGCATCTATTTCAGTTGCTTCCAGTCTGTTACATGCAATGTTGCATTAAACATACCTGTCCACATATATTATATATGGTGAATATTTTTGGAGGATACATTATCATAATCAAGATGGCTGGATCAATGCGGGGAGCACACTTTAAATCCTATAGTCATTTCAAAAGTTACAATGCAACATAAGAGGGCCTAGTTCAGGTGAGTGTGCTCTTGATAGGTATGGGAAAGAAGAGGAAAAGTTTTTCTGGCAAAGATGACAACATTGCATATGTGAAGAATGAGTAAGCTGCTTTGGCATGAGTATGGGTGTGTTGTGTGGATGGAAGGAGGTGGATACATGGTTGAAAAGATCATCTAGGCTCCCGAGGTATGGTATATAAAAAATAGTACACATTATGTGAAAAAATAAAAATAAATAAAAACTAGCAGACATTATGTGTATATGAGTGTATATATATATATGTACATGTATATGTGTGTGTATATATGTGTACATATATATACTTTTCTTCAGATTCTCCAACATATTGAGTGGAGTTCCCTGGGCTACACAGTAGATCCTTGTTGGTTTTCTATTTTACATACAGTAGTGCACACATGATAATCCCAACCTCCTAATTAATCCCTCCCCAACAAGAAAAGTCAAATATTTAAGTGTAGCTTTTATTTTAATAAAATACTTGCTTAGATTCTTGACCACTTTCTCCTCTGGCTTCCAGAACCTCATTCTCCTGGTCCTCCCATAACGCCTATCCCTCTCGCTTGGTCTCATCCACCAGTTCCTCACGCCCTCTCGTCCCTCCATGCTGCTGCCTCGCAGAAGGCTGCACTCACCCCCAGGGTGGGCTCTACATTCGCGCCGCTTCAGTGACCCCTGATCTGTCTGGAAGCCGCTCAAACCCTCTCCTTCCTCACAGCCAGTGTCTGCCTCAGGTCCCATCACCTCTCACATCTGCTCCAACAAGAGCCTCCTAACTGGCTTTTCTAATCCCATCAAGTCTTTATCTTGCCACCAGATCTTCTTTTTGGGAACAAAAATATAATTATACTGCCCCTGTTAATAACCTTAAACAACAGTCCACTGAATAAAGGACAAAGTCCAAGAGCCGTAACATGCCCTATTAGTCCCTTTGCAATCTTACCACAGTAAGCCACACAATGACTTTGCAGTTTTGTTTTTTTTTTATCCCCACCCTTTCTCCTCATCCCAGTAGCTAGGGCACTGTGCAGTCACCATCTTGGGTTGGGGGTAGGAGGCGAGGATACCACAGCATAAAAGGAAGCAGTGCCCAAGTCTGCTTGATCATCATGGTCCTGAAGCCTTTGCCCTTGGGATTGGAGAGGAAACTGGGCACAACAAAAGAAGTTGCTTAAATTTCACGAGACTAAGCTCTGTCCTTTGAGACTAAAAGCTACTTTCCACATACCGAGATGAGATGGAGAGGAGAAGTGCTGACAGGTTTCCTCCTCTAAGCCCTTACTCATCCTCTTCTCTCTACGTGGACTGCCTTTTCCTAGTCTTTCTCCTGGAAAAGACTGGTCCTTCATGCATGAGCTCAGTATCACCTCTTCCCACGTGGCTTATCTCCAGTAGGGTTCCAAGTTCACTGACTAAGCCAACCCTAGAACAGACATGCCCCGGTTCATATCCACCTCCTCCTCCCGTTTCCACGGCTGTGAGCGCCTGGAGAACACGACTGTGTCACTTACCTTTGTGCCCTTGGCGCACGCCCTGCTGCTCTGTCTGCTGTCCCTGAGCCTGTTCCCAAGATGCTCAAAGGTTTCACAGAGCCAGCAGCACGCAGACCACTGATAAGAATATTCCAACGATCATTCTATTTTGTACATGTGTCTTGCATATTGCATGGTTAAACAGAGATACAGCAGACTACCACCTTACTACCTGGGGTAAGGAAGGCCTTTTCTAAAACCAAGCAAGACTGCAAAGAAATCTACAACTAAACAGGCTTCTGCCTGCAATGCAGGAGACCACCTGAAGAAGACTCAGGTTCGATTCCTGGGTCAGGAAGTTCCCCTGAAGAAGGAAATGACAACCCACTCCAATATTCTTGTCTGGGAAATCCCATGGAGCCTGGTGGGCTACAGTCCGTGGGGTTAGAGTTTCAAGAGTCAGACACGACTTAATGACTAAACCACCAAACAGTGTCTAGCACCACAACTAAAGACTTCATACCATTTTGGAATCACATTTAATTACATTTTTATCTGACCCAAATGTCTCAGTAAGTTTAGTAGTTTTAACTACTGAACACTTAATAACAGTATAAATAACAAGTATGTGACATGGATACACTTGTGATTTCCTAACTGGGAAAATCAGATTATGTTATAAAGGTGGTTTTCAAGCCATACTGCACATCACGCACTGTTCTAGATACTGTGGGCACAACCTAGAGCCAGAGTGCTGCTTTTCTAATCTCACTGGATTTCTGTGCGAGTAGGAAACCCTTTCACCATCAGACCCCAAACTCCATGTGATAGGGTACCACCGCTGAAACATTAAGATAGTTAAGATAGGAACTTTTTTTCTGTTATACCTTTCTTCCCATTGGAGAAGCTGTAATAGCCTGGCAGGCTGCAGTCCATGGGGGTCGCAGAGAGTCAGACAGGACTGTGTGACTGAACTGAACTGAACAAACAAGTAAATCAATAAAACAAGGTAAGTGTAATAACTCATAAAAGGGAAATAAAGCAGTGATGCTACAGTAACTTTGGAGTAGACTAGGGAGAAACAGAAATTCCTTCTGAGGGAGAAATGAATGATAAGAAGCTGGGGCAGGTTCTACATGGTCCCTAGCCAGGAAGGAAATGAGAGCATTCGTGGAACAGTGAGAAGGTCACTGTGGGTGGGTTGTACTCAGAAAGCAATAAGCAATGAGACTGACGAGGCAGGAGGGGGCCAGATCAGGTGGGCCAGGTAGGCGAATGGAAGATGTATTTACTCCAGGCTATGGAAAACCATCGAGGACAGATGTGACCTGCCATATGTTTGTAAAAGCTCATTCTTAGGGACTTCCCTGGTGGTGCAGTGGTTAGGACTCAGCAATCCCAATGCAGGAAGCCTGGGTTCAATCTCTGGCCAAGGAACTAGTTCTCACATGCAGCAAGTAAGAGTTAGCATGCTGCAACTAAAATCCAGAACAGCCAAACAAATTTTTTCAAAAAAATTTTTTAAAGCTCATCCTGAGAGTGTGTGGAGAACTGGATACTAGTGGGTGGGGGTGAGTGGAAGCACAGAGAGGAATTGGGAAGAAAAAGGATGAGTCGGCACAGGCTGCAGCCGGGACACATGTGGTGGCAACATATGCAGCGACTTCAGTACTGCTGCCAGGCGGTCGGAGAGACAATTAGCAGAGGTCCTCCCCTCCACCACTTTCAGCCAAGGAAGGCTCTCTTTGAGCTGTTTTCCCCGGGCAGCGTCTATGACAGACATTCACACAGGAGGATTCTCTCATTAAAGACATGACTAAACCACTGCCTTCAACGGCCTGTCAGCTCCGTTCTAGCTCAAGAACGCTATGACTCAATTTTTCCCGTCATCTTGTGCAGGAAGCTCCATCAGACACAAGCAAGAGGAACTTGGACCTTCTGCTTAGATGATCACTTTCCTCTGGCACTTGCCTGCCACTCAGGGAGGCCGGGCTCCTCGCAGGTGACCGAGGTGACTCTGGGAGCCACAGTCCCTTGCAGCCTGAAGAGTGGTACCTCGGGGCTGCCCTGCCTGATACACTAATATGTAAGTCCAC